TTTGTGTTTGCGTGTGTGACTGCCTAAGCAGTGAATTGCGTTGTTTGATACTTTTCTCGTAAGCTCAAGTCAGTCCAGGGGCAAGTTCGTCAAGAAGCGTGTGTTCCTCATTGGAACAACCAACTATTACTTACTTCATGATCAACTTTATATTATAATTATAATGCAATAAAGAAAATAAGAGATGCAGACGTGGCCAGTTTAAGAATTTAAGAACATTACAGGTCGTCCCCCCCCCCCCCCCCCCCCCGCTATAACCAATCTGGTTAGTACATAAACCCCGTTAGTACACACATGTAAGATATCTCAAGTCCTGGACGAAACGTGGTCACTTCCTTACAAATTTTGTCGGTTAGTACAGTGCCGGCAACTGAAATCCGACCCCTGACCGGTGCGCTCACATCGCAAAGACCCAACACGGGAATGTAAAACTACGAAAATAGAGACCGCTAGAATGTGAACGCGCCGCTCAGGGGTCGGTTTTCAGTTGCCAGCACTGTACATTGTACATACATTTACATGTAATTCGTTAGTACATACCAGTAAATAATGTACATATTAAACATTTCTGCGTACCCGCATGCCACCTACCTCTTTTTTTTGCGGGGTAACGGCCTCTTTTACGGGCAAGATAAAGTCATGTAGACGTGAAAAAATAGAGATGCCATGAAAGGTAAAATATAATTTTATTCAAGTACAATACATTGGAAAACTCCAAAAATTCCACGTAAAACGGACGAAATTCAGTTCTCAATGGCCGATGCCTACCCCAGCACCATCCTGCTTCGACAGGCCTGTCAGGCGCCTTCTGGAGCCGCGTAGCCGGAGGTCGACTGCATGGAAATCGGCAAATTGGTTGCGAATTCGCACCCAAGCCATGATGGTTAAAATTGGCTTGTCCCACTTGAGGGCGAGGCGACCAGCAAGTCGCTTCTGATAGCTGGCGTATTCGCGATGCAGCACCCCATCCGTGGAACAAACCAGTGGTGTGAACGACCCACGGAGGTCCTCCGAGGCCTGACGGTACTTCTTTTTCTTCGCGTTCGCAGCGCGGTTGGAAGTAGCTTCCCAGGATGAATGGGAGTAACTGGGTGCGTTGGCATCAATGATGCGATTATCAAAAAACGCCACCCTGTTATCCTCCCACACACCCCGGGCAAGCCAATCTGCCCGAAGAGCAGGCTGCCCCATCCGATCACCCTCCGGCACCATGATCGGCTCGACGACAACACCGCCGAATGCCATATCAGCTAGCTTTGCATCGCTATCACGTAGATCATTGTGGCCTCGCTTGATAAGTCCTCCTTTCGGGCAGTCAAGGCCATGCTGAAGGGAGAAGGGCTTCCCGCAACCATCACATTGCGCTGGCAGGGCAAGCGGCTGCCGACCATAGCGGATAGCAAGTTGATCTCGAAATTCTGTACCCGATAGATCATACCCCTCGCGCTTCAGGGGCAACACCGTAAGCCATCCGGAGGCATTTCTCCATACGATGCGGGAGAGGGTGCGCTCCTCAAGCTGTGGCAGGTCAGTGAGAATTGATTGACTGATTTCAGCGGAAATCACATCCCGTTCCCTGCTGATTTGGCTTGTGATGCGGCGACAGTGAGCGCTGTGATCATTTATGTTTACGGGGTTACCATATTTGATGGAGTTGCGCAGGATGTCAGTTGCGTTTCTCGAGTTCTGGTAAGCCTGGGGTGCTGTGTGAACAGGATCGGCCAAAGCCAAGCCACCATACTTGACTGGCAGGGCGAGGAGCTGGTGTTCCCGAGGAAGAACCTCCCGCCCAAGGATGGCTGGGGCAAATTGCTCCAGGATGACGTCTCGAAGTGGAGCAAACTCCTCTTCAAGACTCTGGACAACACGCTGGAGGTATGACCACTTACATGAGAGCGAGCGATTCAACGCACAATACGCGGACTGGGGATATTTCCTGGCAGCAGCGGCAAGGCAATTGACACTGCTCACCCACGTCTCCACTCTCTCCTTGACGAACGATTTCACTCCGTCAGGTTCACTGATACAGCCTCCTAGGAATTGGGCGGATCTGGCTACTTTGATGTTCAGATCCCCAAAGATATCATTAGCTTGCTGAACGAGATCCGGGGAAACAATAATGATACTCTTTGTCGGCTCAACTTGGTAGCCGAAAGCTTCACCCTGATCGATAAGGCGGTCGAGCCACTTCCTGATGTTGCGCAACCGTCCCGCACAAGAAGAATCATCGGCGTACCAATTTTGGGTGTGCTGGCTGGGTTCCTTCAAACTCTCAATCAGAGGGTGCAGACCAACGGCATACATTAGCATAGCCAGGGGACATCCCTGAGTAGTACCTTCCCGGCTGAGAAGGGTATGGACCTCAGGTGTACAGGAGCCTTTCAGGATGATCACAGCGTACCCACGGTAGGCGTTGAATAGAAACCTTGCGCATCTCGGCCAGAGCACCCGGCAGTTCCATAGGGCCGCGGGACGGCTTAGCGAGTTAAATGCATTAGCTGCATCGACAAGAAGGAGTCCTTCGCTGTCATCCTCGGTGAAAACGTCGCTCATAGCATGAACTGTTGCCTCAATCCCAGCTTTTGCACCCGAGCATAGCTGGTCAGCCCCACAGACATCCTGGACATCAATTCCCGTAGCAAGGGCCATGGCCTTTGCCTCAATGCGCTGCATGCATTCACCCACTCCGATTGGCCGCACTCCTGGTAGCTTGTCCACTTCAATGCCTCTCCGAGCAAGGAATGCTCGCATGTTGCACCAGGGCACGATTCCATTTGCATGTCGACGGGTTGAGGCAGCCACAGCTTCCCGCAGGCGACCGCTGGCGTTGCCATGGGATAGCAAGAACGTTCTCCACTGCTCAGAGGTGGTCCCACTGGGACTGGCACTGCCGAAGAGTCGACGGGCCACCTGTTCAATCATTGCACCAGTGATATGAAGATCCTCCAGCAGGGGCAGATCCTTGCATTAAAGGAATGCTCTTGGATCGGCGGGTTGTTCCTCCGGGTGTTTCTCTTGCAGCACATCGTACACGGTCCTAGCAAGTGGGCCAGCCTTGCCATGAGCTTCACCACCGGGGTCCAGTACACCTCCACCACATCGATCTGTGATTAGACGCACCGCAGATCTGACCCTGCCTTCGAGCATAAGACGGTTGAAGGTCCGCTCTATTTGCTCTGGCGACATAGGAAACATGCTGGTCAGCAGCTGAGTATCACACAGTCGAGCCTCACGCAATAGTTCAGAGAGGTGACCATTCTCCCACATATCCATCCGTCTTGTGAGGAGTGGCCGGATGGCCTTTCCTTTGCGAATAGACTTGTTATGTTGCAGAACGAGAGCAGTGAAAAGAAATTCACACCCTGAAGGTTGTTGGCTATTGTTGCATTTTTCTATTTCTTCAGCTAAAATGTTGACGAAGCGTGTTCCGACCCCTCCGTCGGGCAGGCCATACTGCTTTCCATGCAAAGCTACCGCTTTCCACCACATTTGCCTGATTTCACAATCCGGACCACCGTCGGAGTTGACCAGTTCAGCGCCAAACGCTCTCTGGAATTTTGCGCTCAGGAAGGCAGTATTGACTGCATCATCATCAAATTCAACTGTGGCCTCGGGGACGGCGGTGTCGTCGGAGCCCGGTTCGACCATAGGTTGGGCCTGCGATCCGGCAAGTTCCGTCAACAGCTGGACCTCAGAGTCAGAGGGTGACGCCGCGAGTTCACCTACAACACGTTGTAGCGGCGGGTTAGCCGGCCTCGGCGTGTCCCCAGCCGTTGAGACAGTTTCCGTTGAGACAGTCTCCGCTGCGACAGTTACGACAGCTGTTTGAAACGGTACGGTTCGGTTTGAGCATTTCTGCTTCCTGTCAGGAGTGCAATTAGTGCGGGAGCGACTTTCCTGTCGGCATGTGCAATTTGTTCGGCAGGTCCCATTCCCGGAGCAGGGGCAGCACCGGCGTCCTTTGGGACATGGACCCTTCTCGCTACTCTTGTCAGCCATGCAGGCAACGCTCGCCACGACTACACTCGCATACAGCAAAGCAGTACGCGCAGAACAGCGCAGAACAATCGAAGCAGAAGCAGTCAGTCAGAGCATGCAGTCAGAGCTACAAAACCCCTAACCATCTCCTACGAAGATACCTGTACATCACCTATCTGAACAGTACATAATTATTATTAGTATTTGTTGGTCTTTTGGCCGTCCAGCGGAGGCACCTCGTGTCTAGTTTCTACTTGCGGACGCAATCAGCGCAGAAATCAGAGCGCACAGAAACCGACAAAGCGCTGTTTTTTCCGAGTGACTGTACGCGTACAGGCTGGGCATGTAAATGTAAACTGTAGAATCTTCGCTGATTGTGACCGTTATATTTTTTATGTTACATGTACAATGTCATGTACAAAATCGAGGGAATCAAGAATATCACCAGCGAGACCGAGTTGTTGGAGGGTGACCATGGTGACTGCTCCGTCAAGGTTTGGCTCTAGTCTAGACCAAAGCCACCGCTTCTCCCAATGACATGATTGTACAATGTCATTCACATGTACATTATGTACTTGCAATCGCATTTTTATTGTGGCTGCTAGTACTAGTAGTACAGGTCATGTCGTTGGTCGACAGCATTAAACAAGGACTTTAATAGGTGGAGGACCAGTGAGACAGTGAGATCTCGGGATACCGACCAGTGAAACAGTGACCTTTCTTGAACCATGCACGGTTGGTAGATCGGTGCACAGCTAGACCACTCTCGCTACGAAACCAACGCCCACAATCCCCACAGTGACAATCCCCTCGCTGCTCGACAATCGGCTTGGCCCGCTTAGCCACACATTTGTGACGAGCACGTTCTCCAGGGCATGAGAATGATCGATAGCAATCACAATCACAAACGCACACACACACACCCACCCACACATAAACACACACACACACACACACACACACACACACACACACACACACACACACACAAAACCTTAAGCTGTTTACACACTTGGCGCAGG